GGCCCCCAGATTTGGAGCCTTAAGATCAGACTCCCACTGGGGGCCAGAGAGGCCTGCTGAGCCCCTGTTCTGCCCTGCCAATTAGGAACTCTGGTCACTGTAGCTTAGGCACCATCCCCTTGGCCGCGAAATAGGGAGCACATCACCTTACCTGTAGGGTTGCTGTAAGATTAAATGGCCCTGGAGCCCTAGGTAATGATAAGCTGTGGTACTTCTGCTAAGTCTTGTGGCTTGTGATAAGCTGTGATACTTCTGCTAAGTCTTGTGGCTTGTGATTGACACCTCTTAAGCCCCCCCCCATCTGTGGCCCTCCAAAAGCAAGGACATCACCTTTTGATGGCCAGGCCAGACTGCCATCAAAAATCACCTGTTCTTGAAGAGCAGCCCAGTTAGCCTGGGACAGGCTTGGTTTGTATCCTGTCTATATGTGTGACGACAGTAAAGAGTGGCTCCTTGTTGGAGGGGCCCCCAGTTTGGATGGTCAATACATGATTACTCTTGAGTAGGCAATCAGACCCTTGCTCCAGCTTCCTCAGGTTAGGTTGGCTGGTGGTCACTCTCTTGTCTCCCTAAGATGTGGCCTCTGTGCACCGTTCTCTTGGGGTTACCAGGATGGATGACAGCTGGTATTGAAAGCCACATTATCTCATCTTTGTCTATGTCAAGTCAGAAACCCTTTCTCCTTCCATAGGAGTGAGGTGAAGAAACAGACTTGGGACCCGTTAGAACTTGTCCTACCTGGGATTGATCTTGGAACTCAGCCCAAGTTCTCTTGTGTTTTTATTACTCTTTTTCTGTTTTAGTTTGACTGGCCAAAACAAAACTGAGGATGACTTTGAATTCCTGATCCTCCAGCTCCGCCTTCCAAGTGCTGGGATTACAGGTGTGCACCACCACACCCAGCTTCCAGTGCCAACTTCCAAGCACTGGCCTTGCCATGGTTGACCAGTCCCTCCTCCCCATGGGTCCTAGCTTTGGAGAAGTATAGAAAAATTGCTGAGTGTTTTGTTTGCTCAAAACCACAGCAGACACATGGGCTGCTGCCTTGTGCTGCATCAGAGACAGGCTGGTTTGACAGGTGGTGATACTCCCCAGCTTCTTCAGGAAAACCAGCAGTGGCTGGTGGGCACTAGGCCTGGCTGTGATGGGCACAGCAGGTCTCCTGTGGGCTCCATGGAGACAGAAGCCCTGTCTTGTTCACCTTTCTGTCTCCAAGCACTAGGCCTGCCGCCCAACCCAGATTTAACTATATTTGTTTCACAAATGAGTGAAGGAATTCTTAGTTTCTAACAATTATTCTTGTGATCACCAAAGCTTTGCTGAATTGGGGACCTGAGGATGGAAAAAATCTCTCCAGCCTGTGCCTGCCTGTTTTCAGAAAACCCTTCTTCTGGGAATTGAGGCTAACAAATACTTATTTGTTGCTATTACTTAGGGCTTTGTAATTAACTGTGTTCCTTGACCTGCATTGTGCTCTTTGGGCTCCCACGTCTTTTGTGTTTTCATTTCCAGTTTTCAGATGGGAAAACCTAGGTACAGGAGTGACTTTGCATAATCAACTAGAAGTAACTGAGGTGTGAGAGTCCTAGTTGAGGGCAGCTGGGCATGAGGTAGGGTGTGTTAGAAGTATATTTGTGCTGAGTGAGTGCCTTTAATCCCTGCACTCTAGAGGCAGAGGTAGGCGGATTTCTGAGATCGATGTCGGCTGGGACTATAGGGAAACCCTGTCTCAAAAAAACAAAAACAAAAAAAAGAAGTGGATTTGGCCCCCTGGACTATTCCAGATGGGACTCCAAAGCCCCTGGCAGTTCTCCTATCTGACCCCTTCCACCAGAGCCCTGCTTTGAGCCAAATAGTTTTAATCTTTAGTGTCTGTTTCAGGGAGGCTGGATTCCTGTCTGGGGTATTTTTAGCCAGCCTCAGGAAGGGGAAGCTCCGTTGAGCACAGAAGGGGGGAGGGAGCACCAGGCCTGGGCTGATTTCCTGAGGAAGGGCTGTTTGCTGGCCATGCGCCTGACCCTGGCCCTGGGAGGAGAGCAGGCAAGGCAGGCAGGAGCCACCCCACTAGTGTCTCTCCTCTTCTGGTGTGTGCCAGACACCAAGCCAGGGACATTCGTATCTGAAGCCCAGGCATGCTTTTGGTGCTCCATAGTCCTGGGGAAGCCCAGATGGGCACAAGAAGAGGCAGAGGGGGCCAGGAGACTGGTGGCAGAGCAGTCCAACAGTGCTGATGAAATGGCATGGAAGGGGGAAGGGCATGGTGTGCAAAATTGGGGCTCTCAGTGTTCACGGAGCAGGAGCAGACCAAGGCAGTTGGAGCCAAAGGAAAGGAGGAGGCTTCTGTGCTGGGCTTTGCACCTGACAGCGGGTACAGAGGCATGTTTACAAGAGCCTGTTAGATCAGAGAATGTGACCGTGAACCTAGGATCCTAGGATTTTAACATTCAAATCAGACAGTGGTCTCACATGTGTTAGCCATCAGATCTGACATGCAACTCCAAGTGTATAAGTCATTTAAAAGCTATCTTTTTATCAGTATATTCTATCAGTAGATTTAGATATTTAAATAGATAACAGTTAAAAATAACAAGCCAGGCGTGTTGGTGCATGCCTTTAATCCCAGTACTCAGGAGGCAGAGGGAGACCCTGTCTCAAAAAGGCAAAAAAAAAGAAAGGGAGAGAGAGAGAGAGAGAGAGAGAGAGAGAGAGAGAGAGAGAGAGAGAGAGAATAGGCAGCACATGTCTTCTCTTTTGTGTGTTGTTGTTTTGTTTTTGAGACAGGGTCTCTATAGCCCCAGTTGGCGTAGAACTCCCAGAGATCTGTCTGCCTCTGCCTCCAGAGGCCTGGGATTAAGGGCTGGGACCAAAGGTGTGCGCCACTATACCCAGCAGCACATGTTTTCTTTAATCCCAGCACTCAGGAGGCAGAGGCAGGCAGATCTCTGTAAGCTTGAGGCCAGCCTGATCTACATAACAAGACTAGATATAGATATATAGATATGGCTTAGGTTGTGAAGCCATTTAATATCAGGCTATGTTTGAGACCAGCCTCAACACCTAAGTTATTGTTGTATTTTCTATTCTTTGTACCCTATTGTAGCCTATATATTTTTAAAATATTTTATTTATTATTTTTACTTTATATGTATGAGTGTATTGCCTGCATATATGTAAGTGCACTCATGTCCTGCAGTGCCTGCATGGGTCAGAAAAGGGTGTCAGATCCCCTGAAACTAGAGTTACAGACCATTGTTAGCTGCCATGTGGGTGCTGGGAACCAAACCTGGGTCCTCTGCAAGAGCAGCTAGTGCTCTTAACCACTGAGCCATCTCTCCAGTGTCGATACATATATATTTATATTTATCCTTATTCATACAGCCATGCCATCACTAATGGAAACAATTAACAGATCTCAGGATCTGTGCAAAATTACTCTGGCAGCACAGCCAGTAGAACTTTTGGCATGTTTTAGAGTATGGCACATATATTTGAGTAGGTAGGGTTTTTTGCTTTTTTTTTTATCAGTTATTAAAATAATAGAATAATTTTTAAAATAGAAGGGTTGACACATGCCTTTAATCCCAGCACTTGGGAGGCAGAGGCAGGCGAATCTTTGTGAGTTTAAGACCAGCCTAGCGAGTTCCAGGCCAACTGGGGCTACAGGGAGACTGTCTCAAAAAGACCAAAAAAAAAAAAAAAATCTCTCTATATATATATTTTGGCCTTTTTGAGAGTATATATATGGGTTGGGGATATGGTTCGGTGGTAGAGTAATTGCCTAGCATGCTCAAGGCCCTGAGTCTAATCCCCAGCACTGCAGAAAGGAAAATAAAAAGCTGTTCAACTTCACTCATAAATCACCAGATATAGAAGCCCAAGACTGTAATGCCAGCACTTGGGAGACTGAGGCTGAAAGATCACAAGTTCCAGGGTAACCTCAGCTATATAGTGAAATCTTGTCTAGAAAAAGAATTATAAAGAATAGTCATTTTTGGATCAGATTTCTGAGGATTTCTTTTTTCTTTTGGTCTTTTTGAGAAAGGGTCTCCCTGTAGCCCCAGCTGGCCTTGAACTCACAGAGATCCACCTGCCTCTGCCTCCTGAGTGCTGGGACTAAAGACTTGCGCCACCACACCCATTCTGAGGATTTTTTAAAGGACCTGTAAGACACAGTTTGAAAACCACTGAACAGGGGCTGGGGAGATGGCTCAGTGGGTTAAGTACTTGCAGCAAGTATATGAAGACCTGAGTTTAATCCCTACCACCCACATAAAAATCCAAGCATGGTATCCAAGCCTGTAACCCTAGAGCTGGAAGACATAAATAGGAGGATCCCTGGGGTTTCCTGGCCCACTAGTCTAGTCAGTCTGTGATCTCCAGGTCCAATGAAAGACCCTGTCTCAAAAAGTGAGGTAGAGCACAGTGGAAGAGTACACCCGTCATCAACCTCTGACCTTCATACACGTGCTTACGTGGGCACACACACATGTACCTACATACATATCTGCACATACACGCATACACCATACACACACACACACACACGCACGAAAAAACAAAAGGGTCATTAAAGAATCATTGAACAGGTGGGTGTGGTGGTATACATCTGTAATCTTAGCACTTGGGAGTCTGAGGCAGAAGGATAATGTGATCAAGGCTACACATCAAGTTCTAGGCCAGCTACAGCTACATAGTAAAATTGGTCAAACAAACACACACAAAAGGAATCACAAAGGAACTCTACCCTCCCTGCTTTACAGTGGGAAGATCTAGGCAAGCAAGGCAGTAGGGCTTACCTAGAAGCCTTGAGATGGCTTGATACACAGTGTCATTGCTCCAGGTAATTACAAGGTATCCTGTTTTCAAGACAGGAGTAAACTGAAATCAGAGCTACAACACCCCCCCCCGCCCCCCAAAATAGCTAGGCCCTTGTCCTCACTGAATTGATGGTCCACGCAGCATGGAGCCAGCAGTATTAATGTGTCCTTCTCTTCCCACAGCGATGCCCTCGTAACCAGCCACCACGGGATGGAGGGCTTCATGGACTCAGGGACACAGACCGATGCTGTGGTGGTGCTGTCTTTGGCTCAGGCTGCTGTGTTGGGCCTAGTCTCAGAAAATGAGCTCTTTGGAGCCACCATAAGCGCCGAGGCCTTCTACCCGGATTTAGGGCCAGAGCTATCCGGGTCAGCCATGGGGGAGCCAGGACCACCCGGCCCTGACATCTATCAGCTGGCCTGCAATGGGCGGGCCCTGGAAGAGCCCCCGGAAGAGGAGGTGCTGGAGGTGGAAGCCGCCTTTGAGAAGCACACCCGGCGGAAGACGCGGCCCCCTGTGCGCCTGGTGCCCAAAGTCAAGTTCGAGAAGGCAGAGGAGGAAGAAGAGCAAGAGGTCTATGAGGTGTCCGTGCCTGGTGATGACAAGGACCCAGGCCCGACAGAGGCCCCAGGCGAGGTGGCCAGTGGTGGCTGTGAGGCCCTGGTGCAAAGCAGTGCAGTTAAGATGATCGACCTCAGCGCCTTCAGCCGCAAGCCCCGGACACTTCGCCACTTGCCGCGAACTCCGAGGCCAGAGTTGGACATGGCCCCGTTCGATCCTCCCTTCCCTGACCCAGCCCGGGATGGCTTCCCGGAGCCCAGCATGGCACTGCCTGGACCAGAGACCTTGCCCACAGAATGTAGTTTTGAGCCACCCCACCTGGCCCCCCTTAGTGACCCTGAACCTCCCACCATGGCATCGCCAGAACCGGTCAAGCCAGAACAGGGCTTCGTGTGGCAGGAGCCCAACGAGTTTGAGGTTGATGCAGCAGGCTCCACGGTGGAGCGCCACAAGAAAGCCCAGCTGGACCGGCTAGACATCAACGTGCAGATCGATGACTCCTACCTAGTAGAGGCAGGCGATCGCCAAAAGCGCTGGCAGTGCCGCATGTGCGAGAAGTCCTACACGTCTAAGTATAACCTGGTGACACACATCCTGGGCCACAACGGCATCAAGCCACACTCGTGTCCACACTGCAGCAAGCTCTTCAAGCAGCCCAGCCACCTGCAGACGCACCTGCTGACACACCAGGGCACGCGACCCCACAAGTGCCAGGTGTGCCACAAGGCCTTCACACAGACCAGCCACCTCAAGCGCCACATGCTGCTGCACTCCGAGGTCAAACCCTACAGCTGCCACTTCTGCGGCCGTGGCTTCGCCTACCCCAGCGAGCTCAAGGCCCATGAGGTGAAGCACGAGAGTGGCCGCTGCCATGTCTGTGTGGAGTGCGGCCTAGACTTCTCCACCCTGACTCAACTCAAGCGCCACCTGGCCTCCCACCAGGGCCCCACCCTCTACCAGTGCCTCGAGTGTGACAAGTCCTTCCACTACCGCAGCCAGCTGCAGAACCATATGCTCAAACACCAGAATGTGCGGCCCTTCGTGTGCACGGAATGTGGCATGGAATTCAGTCAGATCCACCATCTCAAGCAGCATTCACTCACACACAAGGTAAGGCCACCAGTCATGGCTGTCCTGCCAATGACTTTCTCTCCAGCACTTCCCAAAGTCCTGACTGAGACAACTTAGGTGATACACAGGTAATTTTCTTTTTTCTTTTTGGTCTTTTTGAGACAGGGTCTCCCTGTAGCCCCAGATGTCCTGGAACTCACTATGTAGACCAGGTTGGCCTTGAACTCAGAGATCCACTTGTCTCTGCCTCCCGAGTGCTGGGATTAAAGGCATGCGCCACCACACCCGGCTCAATTTTCTTTTTTTCATACTTACAAATTTTTACTGTTAGAAATATCATTGAAATTAATTTTTTCAACAGTAAAGTTTCTCATAAAAAGGTTTTTGAGACTGCAATGATTCAGTGGATAAAGCGCTTGCTTTCTAAACAGGACCTGAGTTCAGATCCCCAGCACACACATAAAAGTTGTATGTGGCAGTGTGCCATCTATAAAATGGCCACCAGGGCCAGAAACTGGTGGGTCCCAGTGGCAAGCTGGCCAGCTGATCTAACTGAAGAAATCAGTTCCAGGTTCAGCAATTGAGGAAGACATTCCAACATCAGTTTGTAGCCTCCAAATGCACATGTGTGAGGCAGGCAGAACTCTGTGAGATTGAGGCCAGCTTGGTCTCCATAGTGAATCAAGGCCAGCTGGGGCTACATGGAGATTCTGTCTCAAAAAGACAAAATATATATATATATACATATTTTTTTTTATTTATATGTGTGTATGTATCTGTGTGAGTGTATGCCATGTGAGTCTGTGCCTATGGAGGCCAACTCCCTGAATCTGGAGCTAAAGGTGGTTGTGAGTCACCCTACATGGGTGCTGGGAATTGAATACTGGTTCTCTTGGAAGAGCAGCAAGTGCTCTTAACTACTGAGCCATTTCTCCAGCCCCCACGTAAACAGGTTTTTGAGTAAAATGTTTGTAAAACTCCTGAACGACTCAAGGGACTCAGTTTGAGAATCATAGACTAACCTCCCTAATTTCTAGATATTGGGACTGAGGCCTGAGAGAGGTCAGGATGCCACAGGCAATGGCCAGAAATGAAACGGATAACTTGTAGATCTTGTCATCACAAAAGCATATCAAAACCTATGATTTCCCTTCATGAAAGGCCAAATATATCTGATTATAAAAGAGGGATAGATGGGGCTGGGGAAGGCTGACGAGATAATTTCAGTAGGTAAAGGCACTTGCTGCCAAACCTGATGACCTGAATTAGATCCTTGGAGCCCACATGGTAGGAGAGAGCTAACTTCCCTGAGTTGTCCTTTGACCTCCACACAGGTGCCCATCACTACACACACAACAAATAAATGTAGTTTAAAAAAAAATTTTTTTAATGGGGATGGAGAGTTAGTTACTTACCATACAAGCATAAAGTCTTGAGTTTGATGCCCAGTACCCCTGTAAAAAACTGGGCACGATTGCACACACTTATAATTCCCAGTGCTGGGGAAGCAGGGAAGGAAGATCCCTGGAGCTCGATGATAAACCAGCCTACTTTAATAGGTGAAGCAAGGGTCCCTATGAGAGACCCTGTCTCAAAAAAACAAGGTGGACAGCTCCTGAGGAAGGACACCCAAGGTCGACTTCTGGCATGCACACTCTCACACAACACACAGACACACACACGAAAAAGTGTAAGAAAAAAGTTTTGCAGAAAGTGTAAGTGGTCAAGACAAGGTAAGTGGTCAAGTGCAAGGCTCACCTAGGCAAGGTAATCTGTGAAGGTAGAAAACTGTGCAGCTATGTCCTTATCCACCAGGTCCCTAAACCCAGCTATTCTCCCTTTCTTCCTCTTCCTGGTGTTAAGCCACCAGCCCCCAGCCCCCCGCCTCTCAGCCATCACCACCTCCTGCAAGAAGCCTTTATGTCCAGGCAGATGGAATGAGGCCCCTTAGGTCCCACTATCCCACTCTGGCAGTTGACTGGCCCAGTTTCCTCTAAAATCCAGCCAACTTAGCATGTAGCACTTCCTCTCTCTGTGGTAGCCTCTGGTGATACTCCATGTCTCTCTCTCTCACAGTGAACACTACAGTGAACTGCCAGGCCAGGAACCCAAGTTTCTCTGGCCCCCAGAACTTTACTGCTAGTGCAGAGACTGGCAATGTCCACCACAGGGTATTTCCTGTCAGTTGTAGCAGCTGCTGAATGTATAATGCTAAGAACCATTCTGATGCTGAATCTGAGCTTGGCAGTAAAACTGTATGATTGATTATTAATGTCTACAGGAGTGAAGAGTGGAAGAGGAAGATGTATATGCTGTGTTTCCCATCTTTCTCCTCTACTCAGACTTCAAAATCCCCATTCTAAAGTGTTTAGAGATAAAGAATACTATGAAGAAAAGCTAAAAGCACAACTCAAAGACTAATGAAATTGAAAACATCTGTATCAGTGGCCTAAATTTGTACTCCATGCACATCTATATTTACAGCTCAGGAATGGGGTCCCCTGGTGGTTATGTACACCTGCAGTGTAGTGAAGATAGAGTGTTATCACATGAGAGCTAGCTCCTGGCAGCTAAGAGGATAGACACAGGGGCCGTTGAACTATAATACATACCCTGGGTTCAGTCACCAGCACACATGTACAAAAATAGGTAAGTGACCACAGATTCTTGTCTGGCCCATTGTCTGTCGTCCTCAGCAGAGTACAGCTCCCAACTTCCCAACTATAATCTGTCCTTCCCTCCCAAGCAGTCCCTGTATACACAGCACCCTGTCCTGTATTGGAGGTCAGTTCTAGGCCACAGAGACTCATGTGACAGTTTAGGTGACAGTTCAGACTAGTCCAGTTCAGTGTTTCCTGGGGCTGATGTCAGTGATAAGAATCACCTGGGGGACTCTTACAACTAAAAATACCTGGGCCATTCCAGACCCCACTGAGGGAGCCTTTCAAGAGGGAGGCCTGAGAAATGGTCTACTGGACAAGAGATGAGTGGCTCTCATCTTTTGGGAAGATTTGAGAAATACATTCAAGGGGTCTGTGGAAGAATGAGGTTTTGAGAAATCTGTGCAGACCTGAGCATTAGTCATTTTCCCTGGAGGTGCAAAGTATTCTTTGTTTTGTTTTATTCCTAGTAATGGTGATTGAACCCAGGACTTCACCCTTAGTAGATAAGTTCTCTACTACTGAGCTATATCCCCAGCATTTGGGGTAGGGAGAGTATTTTGTGCATTTGAGGGTTTTGCCTGCCTGGTAAGTATACTGCTTGCATGCTGTGCCTGTAAAAGCCAGAAGAGGTTGTCAGATTCCCTGAAACTGGAGTTATCAGTTGTTAGCCTCTATGTGGGTGCTGGAAACTGACTGAACCCTGTCCTCTGCAAGAATGCCATTTCTCCCCCAGATCCCCCCCTTTTTAAGACAGAATCTTTGAGTTGCCCAGGCTGGCCTTGAACCTGTTCTATAGCCAAGGCAACCTCTGAACTTTCCATCCTCCTGTCTTAGCCTCCCAAGTAGATGGGATTAGCAGGCCTGTGCCACCATGACTAGAAACATGTAACTTTTTGTTGTTTTCCCACCCTTTCTCCACACCGACAACTTTTTGTTGTTTTAAAGACAAGGTCTCGTGATATAGTACATTTGTCTCAAATTTTGTGCCCCACCACCACCACCACCTTAGTCTCTGTCCTAGGAGTCTAACCTAGGGCCTTGCACATACTGGACAGATTCTCTACCACTGAGTGCAGCTCAGTGCACAGAAGCACAGCTTTAATCACATTCCCAAAGGGGCCTATCCCCAAAGAGACAGAACTGAAAAGAAACAAACACACATATCTTTGATCTAACGAAAATTGTCCAGGCTACCAGGCAGAGACACTGTCCCGCTGACCACAGGCCCCTGGCACTGCCTGGCATGGTGCTGGCTGCTGGCTTATAGCAGGGTGCAGATGCCTGGTTGATGGGTGGATGGATGGATGGATGGACACTCCTTTACCTCTATTTGCTGGTGCAGACCTACTTGCATGCCCATCTGGTTGGCAGGGATATTAAGGTACACAGCAATACATTTGCCAGAGCTGCAGTTCTGTTAATGCCCCAGTCCTGATTGGTGCCTCTACCCCTACAGGGCGTGAAGGAGTTCAAGTGCGAGGTGTGTGGCCGGGAGTTTACCCTACAGGCCAACATGAAACGCCACATGCTGATCCACACCAGCGTTAGGCCCTACCAGTGCCACATCTGCTTCAAGACCTTTGTGCAGAAGCAAACCCTCAAGACCCACATGATTGTGCACTCGCCTGTGAAGCCATTCAAGTGCAAGGTACAGGGACTGTCCCCACAGCCAGAGTGGCCAATCCTTGCCTGGGCTTGGGGAGTTTGAATGGGCAAGTGGGGTTTCTGGATAGCTGAACAGGGTGAAGGTCATGGTGCTGTGAGCTCAGTCCAGACCCTGTAATGAGATGAACCCTACTTTCTACCACCAGTTCAGAAAGCAGGAGACACAAAAAGCAGAGATTGCTTTTCTCTGCCTCTCCATCCAGCCTTGAAAGGACAGGGTGCCCTGTGTAGTGAAGGGGGCTCTGCTGAGGTGGTGGAAGTGGGCAAGGCCTGGTGACAGGCACCCTACAGCACTATGGAACTTCCCTATTCCAGGTGTGCGGGAAGTCCTTCAACCGCATGTACAATCTGCTGGGTCACATGCACCTGCATGCGGGGAGCAAGCCCTTCAAGTGCCCCTACTGCTCCAGCAAGTTCAACCTCAAGGGCAACCTGAGCCGGCACATGAAGGTCAAGCATGGCGTCATGGACATCGGCCTGGACAGCCAAGGTGGGTGGGCTGTGCACAGTGGACAGAGCAGGAATGACAGCAGCATGGCACGCTCGGGAGTCTCCTGTCCAATTAGGGGCATAGGGAGGCTGGCCAAGGCTGAGACTTCATTGGGGTGGACTCAGGTCTGGAGAGAGGGGGAGCCTGGAGGACCATCATGGCAATAATGGGGGGTATTTATGTCTTCTAAGGATTTACATGGGCTCACAAATACAATAATAATAAAAACAATAACTTATACATATTGAGTGCTGTGTAACTCATGTGATCCCCACAGGGAGGCTGGCTCTGCATTACCCCCATCCTTCAGCAGAAACTTCAGGACAGAGAGGGTGGGAGAGTAACAAAAGGGGAGACCATGAGGTCACACTTCTAAGTGCACATTGGAGGGGAGTGCTGAGCCTCCTGGCAGATCCGAGCATCATGCTTGCCATGTTAGGAGAGGGACTGGTGGTCCTGCCATTAAGCTTTCTGAGAAAGAAAAATAAGTAGGAAAAATTATTTTTAAAATAAGCCAGATGTGGTGGTACATGCCTTTAATCCCAGCGCTCCTGAGGCAGAGGCAGGTGAGTTCCCGGTCAGCTGGAGCTACTGGGAGACACTGTCTCAAAAAAAAAACAAAAAAAAACCCCTCAGATCTGGAGAGCTGGGTATGGCTTGTAATTCCAGTACTCAGGAAGTTGAGGCAGGAAGACTACAAGTTCTAAGGCCAACCTGGGCTACACAGTGAGACCCTATGCCAGAAGGGGAAGTGGGGGGGCGATCAAACAAAATAGTGTATGTGGGTTGAGTAGAATGCCATTTTTCAGAAAGAATTTCTCCTTGTCTGTGCTCCCTTGCTTGTCACTTGTTTGCAGTAATGTTCAGTGTCCACTGGGTACTCACTGGGATGTTTAAAGTTAAACTCGATTTTAGTTAGTGTGTCTTTTCTTGTCTTTTTGAGACAGGGTCTCCCTGTGGCCCCAGCTGGCCTGGAATTCGCTATGTAGACCAGACTGGGCTTGAACTCAAGAGATCCACCTGCCTCTGCCTCCCAAGTGCTGGGATTAAAGGCAGTAGGTAAATTTTTTAAAAAGAAGAAAAAAAAGGGGGCGGGGGCTGGAGAGGTGGCTCAGCGGTTAAGAACACTGGTTGTTCTTGCAGAAGACCTGGGTTCTAATCCCAGCACCCACATGGCAGCTAACAACTGAAGGTAACTCCAGTCCCAGGGGATCCAACAGCCTCTTCTGACCTCCTCGGGCATTGCATGACACAGGTGCACTTACCTACATGCAGGCAATACATGCATATACACAAAATAACAATAATAAACAATTTTTTAAAAAAAGGAAAAAAAAATATAGAAGAAATTTCCAGAGAAGCTAGATGTGGTAGCACAGGTCTGCAATGTAAGCACAGAAGCAGAAAAATTGCCACAAGTTTGAAGTCAAGCTGGCCTACATCAAAAAACTCAGAACAGAAATGGAAAAGAAATTTCCAGAAAAGATCCATTTTGGCAGCTAGTAGAAGTCTCAGAGGCTGTTGTGAAACATCCTCACTTCTGTCCGGTCACAGCAGAGCTGACCATTGGTCTCTCCAGCCTCTTGGAAAGCTCATTGTGTGTGGTGGGGGTTTCAGAGATTGTTCAGGCAGGAGGAAACTGGAGGCACAGCCCAGAGGCTCCTTGCTGGGAGCATTCTCTGGTGAGACACTGTCTAAGCAGTAGCCAGGTGAGTTGACTAGCCTTGTACAATTGATTTTTCACTAGAAATGGCTACAGTAGCCTTGGTTTTGGAACAACTGACAGGCCTGGGGTTCTGGGAGAGCTTGTTGAAGAAGCTAGTTTTTCAATAGGCTGCTTTGGTAGGTGAGAAGGAACCCTGCCAGCTGCATCTGGTGCTCTTGTAGCCCTTTGAAACAACATCAGATTGGGGTCTTGTGGACTATCAGCCCTGCCCTGGGTCCATTGAGTGGGAATCTGCATTCCCAAAAGCCCCTGTGATTCCTTGCCCAGTGGAGATCCAGAAGCATGGAACTGGTATACTTCAGAATCTCCCTGAGGAGGGGTCAAACTGCAGGGCCCCATCCAACAATTTCTGGGGTGGGGTGAGGGAATTGCATTTCCAATAGGCCCCCTTTAGGTGCCTTTCATCTAGACCTCCCAGGACAGGGTCTCCAATTGTCTACCCATGGGGAGTCATTGGAGGAATTTTTAAAATGCTAATGGTGAGTCTGGCCCCCTGAGGTGCTGGGCCAGTGTAAGGGTTTGTAAGTAAGTACTTTATTTGGTAGTTCTGCTGCAATGGACCCACCTTGTAGCTAGCTAGTAAAGAGACCAAGCCAGTCTTGCCCTTTTGCAAATAACTGGAGCCATTAAACCTGGTTCTCAGGACAGAGGGGGAACAAGCTCTTTCCTGAGGTCAGTAATGAACCGGCTGGAGCCCCATCCATCTCTTCCATGTACATGCACTGCTGGAGAAAGGCAGTGAAGCCATCTCACAAACCAGGTTATAATTTAGGAAGATGGATCAAAGACCATGTAAAAACTCATCCAGCTAGACATGGTGGTGCATGCTATAATCCCAGCACTTGGGACATGAGGCACAAAGATCAGGCGTTCAAAGGCATTCCTCATCTACATAAGTGAATTCAAGGTCAGGTGGGCTAATGAGATTTAACATTTTTATTTTATGTGTATGAGTGTATTGCCTGCATGTATGTGCACCCATGTCATGCAATACCCACCGAGGTCAGAAGAGGGTATCAGATCCCCTGGAACTGGACTTAAGGATAGTTGTTAACCGCCATGTGGGTGCTGGGAACTGAACCTAGCTCCTCTGCAAGCACAAGAACAGCCAGTGCTTTCACTGCTGAGCCTTCTCTCCAGCCCCAAGTCTTCCAGACTATTCCCTGGGGCCAACTGGATGGAGATGAAGCAGGGACATGGAAGTTTAGCTTATTTTTATACCAGCAGTCTAATATGATCTAGCAGCAGGACTTGAGGGGGAAACAACCCAGATAAAGTGTGCTGGGACAATTAACCATGTTTATAAAGTCAGGAAGACTCAGTGTATTGGATGCAGTGACTCAACAACTTGAAGGAGTTGAGGATATAGCCTATCTGGCCTGGCATGCACAAGGCCCTGGATTCGATTCCAGTACCACATAAACCAGGTGTAGTGGTGTACCCATATGATCCCCAGCACTCTGGAGGTAGAGACAGGAAGAGCAAAGGTCATCTTTGAATTTGAGTTTGAGGCCAGTCAGGATTATAGATCTTCTCTCAAAAGAAAGAAAAATGTCTAGGCTATCCTTAAGAGCTGGACAGCTCAACCCCTCAACAATGACATCAGGATTAGGCTCAAGCCATGAGTCCACAGCATCAGCTCTCATTTTCTTCGTGATGTCAAGATGGCTGCCAGTGGCCACCAAAGCACTGTGCTTCCTGTTCACATTCAGTGGAAGAATAAAAGCTGTTCTCTTCTTTAAAACCAATAAGAACCTTCTAAGAACTTACCAACAGGCATTTCCTCCTGATCCAAATGGCCAGAATTAGGTTACATGCCAATTTCTGAGCCACTCATTGGCAGAGAATGGATTACCTTAAACTAGTGATTCTCAGCTGGTGGGGGTGGGGGTGAAATTCACCCTCAGGTGACATTAAGTGGACAGAGTGCAGGATGCTAAACATGTAGTGCACAATGCAACCCCACAGCAATGGATCATGACCCCAGATAGGAGTAATATCAAGGTTAGACCCCTAGGCTGGGTCTCCACCAACCCCCCCCCCCAAATTTCCTTAGTGGACAGAAGCAGAGCACACTTAGCCAGTGAGCCTCACTTAGTCCCTGCCAGCCAGGCACTTGGGGCTTCCAGCTCACACCTTGTGTCTCCTCTGGAGGAACTGCCTATTTGGTTACCACAGCAAGCTTTATAAGATTTCAACCGAACAGAGTTACAAGCTACCCCTCAGAGTTTCTTCTGCCTCACAAAGAGCTTTGTCAACCTACCTTGGCTGAGTGTGTCCTTGGAGAACCCAGGCCCAGGGTGGAGTTGGTTTAGAGAACTAATGGAGAAACAGCATCCTCCAATGCTGTGAAGCAGAACCATGCATGCAAGTTTCCGGAGCACTTGCTAAGTGACCTTGGGCAAGTTGATTAATCTTTTGATCTGTGAACTGAGGTTGCAGGTTTACATTGGATGAGACAAGGCATAAGAAGCACTTGGCACGCAGTGGGTATTAAATAAGTCACATAGCAAAGGGGGACCAATGACAGAGGATGAGCCAGGAGGATTTAGTGGCTTAATAAGGGCATGACCTATGGTCTCTGTCTGAGGCTCCTGTACACAAACAGCTGTAGGGCCCATGGGACCCTGGGTGGGAAGACTGAGAGGAAGCATTGAACTTTTAAAATGTCCAGTGTTCACAAGGCAGTGTACAGGCCTAATTGTGCCCTTTTCTTGCAGACCCCATGATGGAGCTGGCAGGCCCTGACCCCTCTGAACTTGATAGCCAGCAGGAGATGGAGGACTTTGAGGAGAACACCTATACCTACTCTGGCGTGGACAGCAGCACAGAGGCCAGCACCCTCACTGAGCAGGCCATGAAGGAGATGGCCTACTACAACGTGCTATAGCGGGCCAGCCAAGGGGGCCGGGAGGGCACAGGGTGAGACCCATGTGCTGAGGGCTGTACCTCTACAGCCCAAAACCAAGCTACTGCCTACCACCCAGCCTCCCCTCCCCAGTCATTTGCACCACTAGGGACCTTTAGACCAAATGGAGACTGTACTACTGTCCTTGCAGGGAGCTGGGCACAGGCCTAGACATCCCAGCAAGGGAAGGGTAACCAGAAGGCCCAGATCTGGTTCTCCTTGGCCTGCTGCTGTGGGTGGGTGGGGAAAATGCTGGTAGGGCCTCTTGGGGACAGAGCAAAAAGGGCATAGGCTTGCAGGACCTCTCCAGGCCACCTCAGGCCCAGCAGAGCTCTTTGTGAAGAGAATGCTTGAACCAGGCCTTGTCTCTCTTCTGTACCATCCCTGGCCTCTAAGGATATCTGAGCTCCTGCGCTGGTCAGCACTGCCTACCCCTATCCTGTTCAGACTCAAGAACTTCCCTGTCACCTAACAGCCGGGGCACTTTGCCTTCTACCTCCTGGGCCCCCCTTGCTTGATACAGGCATGCATGCGGCCCTAGCCCTGGCCCTGCCTGTAGGAAGCCAAGGAGCCCAGCCCCCAGAGCACACTCCTGCTCTACAATCCTGTTTGAAAGAGAGTGACCCTAATGTGTGTTTTGGCACATTTCATCCAGTTCTATACCAAGCTAGGGCACCAACCACTGTACCCTCACCAAACAGAATTGGAACACGCTTTGTGTCTGGCACACACTGACAGGTCCCTGGGACCAAGAGGGGCTACTCTCAGGGGAAGCCAAGAAGACCACTTGTGGGAAGAAAGGGACTAGAAAGGTTTCTTATGAACAAGCAGGTACTGTGAGGAGAGGTGAGTCCAGGCTCAGTAGGCTCCCAGGGAAGAGCAGCATATTTATAAAGGAAATTGAAGACCATAGAGGGGGGGAAAATTTTTTTTTGAGCAAATGGGGATATTTTGAAGGTAATTTATTACTTTCCAACTCTGTGTTGCCTATCATCTTTTTTTGATGGAGTTGCGCTTTTTTTTTTCTAAACATAAGCTTTCTTGTGTGCTGTGTGTGCTTCCTGCTTCCCTTACCTAGAGCAGCCAGGCCTGGTAGGACTTGGGCCCTGGCCAGTAGGTGCAGCTGCTGGCTGGGAGCCTTAGGGCTAGGGCAGGAAGGAGAAGGAGGCAGAGAGCCCACATGGCCCCTCTAGCCAGTGTCTCTGTGCTGTCCTGGTGGCCAGGGCTGCTGACTCCCCGTGACCAGCAGCCCCCTCCTTACCTGCCCATTCTCCCCGCTGTGTCCCCCAGGTAGTGACTAGCACATTCAGGAACTCCAGGGCACCCAAACTCCTACCCATAAATCCTGAGGCCCCCATGGGGAGAGCTATCCCCAGAGGCACAGATGAAGCCACCAGCTTTGGCTGAAAAACCAGGAGGGGAAACCAGCTTTGGCAGGGCGAGGGGTGCTGATTGGAAGTGCAGCTGCCCCCAAGCCTTTGTCCCTAAGTGAAACACCAAGCTAGGCCTCGGTGACTGTCAAAACTGGGGGGTGGGGTGGACACAATGGCCTAAGTGTGGCTCCCCAGGCCCCCAGCCTCCCAGGTGCCTGCCATGATGACCCTCAGGTGGCAGTGATTGGGTGTCACTGTACAAGACATTTCTCCTGCTGAGCAGAAGGCCTCACCCCTGCAAACTACCTCTTCCCACGATGTCTTTCTCCCCTGGTACCAAAAAGCACCCTGTACCTCCTCCTCTCCTGCCAGTGCAGTGGCCTTGGTCTTGGAAACAGAAGGGAGAAGTCTGGCCTGGGCAGGATCTCTCTTGGCCTCTCAGCCCACCATTGGCACAGTACTGAGGGGTTCCACATTCAGTCCCTGCCCTGTGCCTTGTACCTGGGCATTGCAGAGAGGAAGGCACAGCACAGTGCACAGTTGGAGCTGGGGGTGGTCCTGGCAGGCTCTGCCTCACCCTTCCCAGCCTTCTCATAAGGATGACTCAGAAACCCTGGGCAAATTCCACTCTAACTTATTTTGACGTGTATACAAACCAACTGTTTAGAGATTCCACTTGTGCAGAGCCCTACTGTGTTTTTATGTTCCTGTTTAAAAGAGAAGTTTACTTAGCAATAATTATAAATAAATGAATATTCTTTAGTGAGGTGACTACATGTGATTCTTCCCACGGCTCTTGGGATCCCTTCTCCCCGAAAAGAGAATCCCAACAAGGCTTCCTGACCCCACACCAGAGAGGGTCCCTCTGTGGTGGTGCAGAGGGTGCAGGACTGTCCTAGACTCAGGAATGGCCACCTGCAGTGCCAGATACTTATGGGGGGAGGATTCCAAGGCCCCAGAATTCCTACCACTTGCCAAAAGTGACTTCCTCTTCCCTCACCCACCCATACAGCACCCCATATGGATGTGTGACAGAAGCCAGCTCTCCATTCCAGGCTGGGTCTCAGAGGCTGCCTTCTGGGGAGCTGCCTACCCTGTACTAATGACAAGCAAGGAGACCAGAAGCCTAGGCTTCCTTTGAGAACAGGGTCTGCTGGGACTAGTCCTCCAGATTTTCTTCCTATGTATGGCCTGGGGTTTCAGTTGTTGATGGTCCCACTGATACTAGAGAAATGGATTTTGGGTTGCTAAATATAATCTCCCCTTGGAATCCATGGGGAACTGACTCTAGGACCTCTACCCCAGGGATACAGAAATCCAAAGACATGCAAGCCCCTTCCACAACATAGAACCAACACACAGCCTAAGGCAATATAAGGGAGGAGGAGGAAAAAGTATCTGCTTACGACAGATGCAGCTTTTCCCCCTAATACTGTCTTCTGTGTCCTTTTTGAGACAGGATTTCATATAAACTCAAACTAGCCTTGAACTTCTAATCCTCCAGCCTCCATGTCCCAAGTGCTGTGATTACAGGTTTGTGTGTGATTTCACCTGGCTTATTTTTGCTTTTTTTTTTTTTTTTTTTTTTTGGGGAAAGGGTCTCCGTATAGCCCAAAATCTCCCTGTGGGGGGCTGGGTTTACAATGGTGTGCCTTTTTTTTTTTTTTTTTTTTTTTTTTTTTGAGGTAAGAGTCTCAGTATAGCCCAAAATCTACCTGTGGAGGGCTGGGATTACAAGTGTGTGCCTGTAGTTTTTGTCTTGTTTTTTAGTTTTTGTTTTGTTTTGTCTTTGAGACAGTAGTCTCCCTGTAGCCCTAGCTGGTCTGGAACTCACTTATGTAAACCAGTCTGGTCTAGATCTTACATAGCTCCATCCACATGCCTCTGCCTCCCCGAGTGCTGGGATTAAAGGCATGCGACACCATGCCCAGCTAGTTTTTGGGGTTTTTTTTGAGACAGGGTCTCACTATATACCTCTCTCTGACTGGCCTGGAATTTGCCATCCTTCTGTCTCAGCTTCATGAACTGATAAGCAATGTGCAAAGAACTTTTCAGTTTGTTTTGTTTTTTTATTTTTGAGACGGGCTGGCTCATGGTGATCTCCCTACATCAACCTCCCAACTATTGAGGTTATAGAAGTGCACCACCACACCCAGCTTTTTTCCAAGTATCCCCAATCTGAGTTTGATTCAAATATAAAACCTGGGAACAGGGCTGGGAATGTGCTTGCTAGGATGCAGGAGGCCCTAGATTTGATCCGCATCACTGCATAGAATGTGGTGGCCATGGCTATAATCCCAGCAACTCAGGAGCTGGACATAGGAGGCTCAGTTCAGGGTCATCCTTGACTACACAGTAAGTTTGGGCCAGCATGGGATACATGAAACTCTGTCTCAAAAAGACTGGTAATATAGTTCAATGCCTAACTGTATATAAGGCCCCAAATTCAATTCCCAGCACCAAAAACCAAAAAGACAAACAAAAAAACCCAGTGGCTATACAGAGCTGACTATACTATCAAGAAAAGGTTACCCAGGTCTTTGCCAGGATATTTTAACACCAACAAAAATCGAATCACTGCATAGAAGACAGTGCTTTCAGTTGAATATATGAAGCCATGGAGCAGGATTTTTTAATGTGTTTATGGGAGGTATGTACACATGAGCTCAGATGCCCAAGGAGGTCAGAGGCATCAGATCCCCTGTAACTGCAGTTACAGGCAGTTGTGAGCCACACAGTGTGAGTGCTAGGAATTGAACTTGGGTCCTCTGGAAGAGCAATAACATTCTAACCACTGAGCCATCTCTTCAGCCTCCAGAGCAGCTTTTTAACATCCTACTCTTCTAATTGTGCCAAAGTATGGTAAAGATGAACCCAAGTCTGGGAATTACTAGCCTGAGCTACAGGAGCCCCCTATTCTACATGAGCCTCAAAACACCTGGGAAGTCCTGAGAAGCAAGCACTGGGAGAATGTTTTAAGTACAAGAAAGGGCAAAGAAGGAAGGGCATGGTGGTACATGCATTTTAAGCCCAGACAGAGGCCAGCGGATTTCTGAGTTCCAGGCCAGCCTGATCTACATAGCAAGTTCTAGGCTAGCCAGAACTACATAGTGAGACTCTGTCTCAAAAAAACAACAACCCAAAACAAAACACTAAAAAAGGCAAATCATATCTACCGATGTTTAGGGTTGAAATAAATAGAAAGTAATAAAGGTTAGACATGATGGCACACACCTATAATCCCAACAGTTGGCAGGTGAAAGCAGGAGGATCAATGGTTCAAGAGCCTTAGATACTTGAGATGCTATCTAAAAAATAAATCAATAGGGCCAGGTGCAGTGGTACATAGCTTTAGTCCCAGCACTCAACAGAGGTAGGCAGATTCTATGAGACTGAGGCCAGTCTGGTCTACATAGTTCCAGGCCAGCTGGGGCTACAAGAAGACCCTGACTCCAAAAAAGAAAAGAGTAAGTAATAGGGCTGGAGATGCAGCTGGAGATATAGACTGTTTAGCATGCACAAGGCTATAAGTTAGACCTTCAGGTTTACAAAAAGTATATATATACAGTAAAATGTTAATATCTTGAATATTAGAATATCAGCAAGTGATAAAATAATCCCTGAATGGATAGGGAACCAGATATAAGTGATTATGCTAGGAAATTCCAGGGGCCCCAAGGTCTGTAGAGTATTTGAGGTCCACAGGCTGCCTGGTTCTCTCCCAAGATAGCTTATTATGGTCTGAGTCATCCTAGCCTGCTGGGGTATCCACCAGCTCTATGTGAGCCTCTGTCTCTGGGCCCCAGCTACCTCCTTTCCCTCAGGGACAAACACAGCAGACAAATTTGTGAAGAGCTTTTTAGTAGCTAAATATGGCACCATGTGTTCCAAGGGCAATATAAATTACAGTATGCAAAACATACTGACTGACTGAGGTAAAGCACACCATTTCTGCCTCACATCACCATGAAGGGAAATGCACTCATACTTTTAAAACATCCAGATTATTTAAAAAAAAGTCCCCTAGAAAGGCCTCCAGAGAGAAGGGCTGTGAGGCTCACCCTCCACCATGTACGGAGTACCCACTGCCCTCGGCTTGCCAGTCCACGCTGGGACTTGGGCAATGTCTGCCCCTACTGTTTGCCCAGCGCTCTGTCCAGGTTGCTCTTGATGGTGTCCAGGAAGTCGGTTGTGTTCAAGAAGTGCTCGTTCAGCTTCACACTGCCAAGAAAACACCAAGGCATCAGGGGGCAGCTCCAATCCCTCTGAGGCCATCAACTGGCTTTTCCCAACCACATCAGATCTCAGGCATCAGAACGGCCTTACACCACCAAGCATAAGCACAAGTTTGCCAGCAACCCACTGCCACAGAGCCACAGTGAATTCAGCAGAAACTCATGGGCATCGAGTTTGCCAAGTGACAAGCCATGTGACATAGCTCTTCTAGGGGAAGCTGGGAGATGGCTAGGGAGAAGATGGAAGAAACTGGGCAGCCGCCAATGGAGACCAGCCCCTGCCTTGTCTGAGGAAGCTTGGCTTGAACCATCTCTCAAAGACTGTCTTGCCCCAGGCCCCTGGCAGCTACACTGATTCCTGAGGACTCCTAAGTGAAGTCCCCTGGCTTCCTCCCACCTGCTCTGAGGTCTCAGGCCCTGTATCCCAAACCACACACTTGCTGAGGCCATGAATGCAGCCAGCCAGGTCCTTGGTCATAGCTCCACTCTCCACGGTCTCCACGCATACCTTCTCCAGCGTCTGTGCAAACCTGCAGGGGAAGAGGCAAAGTGAGGTCCCAGGCCTGCAGGGCAGGACTAGAGTCCAGACCAGCTCAGGCCCTCCCCCTGCGTTCACCTGATGAGGTCCTGGTTCCCATCCAGCTTCCCTCGATGCTCTAGACCCCGTGTCCAGGCAAAGATGCTAGCGATAGGGTTGGTACTGGTGGGCCGGCCCTGAGGACAGGGACCACAGGGGATCAACAGCGGAGCCCCAGATACACCTACCCACCACTTGGCAAACAGCTCAGGCTCATTTTCCCAGCAGGCTTTGGGCCTTAAGGTGCACATGCTCACCTTCTGATGCTCTCGGTAATGGCGGGTGACTGTCCCGTGAGCGGCCTCAGCCTCGATAGTCTTTCCGTCAGGGCAAACCAGCACTGACGTCATCAGGCCAAGGGAGCCAAAGCCTGGGGGCAGGCAGACCTCTGCTCAGGACCCTTCACCTGACAAGGCTGAAGCCTTGTCATCTCTCATCCCCACAGCCCACTGCAGCTGGGAGGACAGCAGAGCCTTACAAGTGGCTATTATCAACATGCTAACATACCTCTGTGTGCCCGGCTTCCCAGCTCCTAGGCTCTAAGACACGCCCCCCACCACACTCCCCACCAGCCCAGTCCTGCGACCTCCTAGGAAGCCATTTCTTTTTCTTTTCTTTTTTTCCTTGAGACAGGGTCTTACTATGTAGCCCTTGCTGGCCTGGACCTTGGAATGTAGACCAGATGGGCCTCAAACTCACAGAGATCCACCTGCCTCAGCCTCCTAAGTGCTGGGCTTTACAGGGGTGCACACTATGAGTGGCTTCCAGGAGGCCCTTTCAAGGAGGAAAAATAAAGCAGCTAGTTCACAGCTATCACCATATCTGCTACCCTTGGACACCTTTCAAGCTTTGTTATTTCCCAAATGTAGATGTCAGCTAGAATAATCTGTTGTCAAGGGCTCTGGGGAATCAACTCCCTGATGGGGCTGCAGTTAAGAGCACTAGCTACTCTTGCAAAGAACCTGATTGGGTGCAAGGACCCCCACATGGCAGCTAACAATCCTCTGTAACTCCAGTTCCAAGGTATTCAGCACCCTCTTCTAGCCTCCACTAGCACTATACGCACATGGTACACTTACCTACATGCAGGTAAAACACTCATAACATAAAATACAAGTTTAAAAAATTCCTCAGAACCAAGAGTATGAAGTCCCAAGGAAGAAAAAGTGGACAACTTGTACTGGAAAAAATTCAGCTCACAGTAGCTTTAATTATTTTTTACATTTATTTATATTTTGTGTGTGTGTGGATGTGCGTGGATGTGCTCATGTGGAGGTCAGAGGACTACTTTGGAATTTATTCTCTCCTTCCACCAAGTAGTTTCAAGGGATCAGACTCAAGTTGTCACACGGGGCAGCAAGCACCTTTACCCACTGAGCCACTTCAATGGCCCTTTATTTTGGCTTTGTTATTCAATTTTTTTGGTTTGTTTGGTTTGGTTGGTTTTTTGGTGGTTTGTGGTTTTGTTGTCGTTGTTTTGGGCTTTTTGAGTCAGGGTTTCCCTGTAGCCCCTGCTGGCCTGGAACTTGCTATACACTCTGTAGACAAATCTGAGAGAGATTTGCCTGCCTGTGCTGCCCCAGTGCTGGGACTAAAGGCATGTACCACCAGGCCTAGCTTGTCGCTTGTTTTTTGAGACAGGGACTCACTCTGTAGCCTAGGGTGTCCTGGAACCCAATAAATAACCCAAACTGGCCTGGAATTCACAGCAATCAGTCTCCTAGTGCTGGGATTATAAGTGTGAACCACCATGTCCAGCATTCTGCCCTCTATTAGGACAGACTTAGTAATACACCAGTCCAAGCATAATTTGTGAATTCCCCTCATTCAAGTACCCTAGAGCTCCTGCCCCCTGCTGGTCACAGGGGTGGTGACAGGCAGATCCCCAAGGCTCACTGGGCAGGTAGTCTAGCTCCTGGTTCAATGAGAAATCCTGTCTCAAACACTAATGTGGAGGCCAGGCAAGATGGTTCAGCAGAGAAAGGAGCTTGCTGAAAAGTCTGACAACCTGAGTCTGATCCCTGGGACCCACATGGTGGAAAGAGGAAAACCAACTCTTGCAAAGCATCCTCTGACCTCCATACATGTGCCATGGCAATGCACACACACCCTCACATACAAATAAAGGATTATGGTTGCAGCTCGGTAGGAGAGCACTTGCTTGGTATTCATGAAGCCCTATGTATGACCCCAATGCTGCTAGAAAAATAAATAAATAAATAAATAAATAAATAAATAAATGTTTTTTGTTTTGAAGTTTTTTGTTTTGTTTTGTTATTTTTGAGACAGGGTCTCCCTATAGCTCCAGCTGGCCTGGATGGAACTTGCTATGTAGACCAGGCTAGCCTTGAACTCAGAGATCTGCCTGTCTCTGCTTTCCAAGCGCTGGGATTAAAGGTAACCATGACTGGACTATAAATGTAAATTTTTTGGTCTTTTTGAGACAGGGTCTCCCTGTAGCCCCAGCTGTCCTAGAACTCACTATGTAGACCAGGCTGGCCTTGAACTCACAGATACACCTGCCTCTGCTTCCCAAGTGCTGGGATTAAAGGCATGTACCACTACACCTAGCTTATAAATGTAAATTTTTAAAAAGAAAATATTAAAAATAATAAGGTGGAGTGGTAGAGGAAGAAACCTGACATCAATCTCCAGTTCCCACACAGGAGCACTGGTACATACAGTCCCTCCAGAAGAATCTTATCTGAGAAGCCCACATCCATGCCACGTGTGTGTCTCACTTTCTCCTCAGGAGTCTATTACTTACCCTTCATGCTTACAATTTATATAAAAATCTCATTTGATTAAAAAAAAAAAAAATCACTCCAGTCACAGAAGACCAACAATCTCCCTCAGGGACCAGGCCTCACAGCATACCCTGCGCCAGGATGTCCGACTGTACATCGCCATCATAGTTCTTGCAGGCCCACACAAAGCCTCCTGAAGACTTGAGCACTTGAGCCACCATGTCGTCAATGAGCCGGTGCTCATACCAGATCTTATTCTTGTCAAAGTCAGTCTTGTAGTGCCTGGGAGCAAAAGGGCCTAGTTCCGGGACAGGACAGGAGACTGACAGGTTAAGGACCCCTCCCTGAGCCTCAAAGTTGAACCAAACACACTGGGAGAACAACCTCCCCAGGTGGGGTGGGGACAGTGCAGGGGAGCTTGGGAGGCTGTGCTGCCCTCAGGAAGCTGCAGAGGCTGTTACTTGTCAAAGATCTCCTGGAAGATGTCCTTGAAACGCCCGTCATAGGCCTTCAGAATGGTGTTCTTGGTGCTTAAGTACAGCGGCCACTTCTTCTGGATAGAGTACTGGAAGCAGCTGTGTGCAAAGCCGGAGATGGACTGCAGGAAGAGAGTATAATATGGTTCTCCAGGTACTGTCAGTGGGAAAGAATCCTCATTCACCTGCCTGCTGCTTAGGTTGACGGTGTGACCCTGGCTTATCCAGTCAGAGCCCCGCCTTCCTGGGCCCCAGTGATTGGCTCAGAGGTGGTCACGTGACCCAAGCCGGGCACCCCCACGAGCACAAGAAGGTGCTCTTTTCAGACAGAATGGCTTCCTCTACTTCTTCCTGGTTTGAGAAGGAAACGAATAGAAGCCAGGAAACCAAAATGGGCAGAGATGGAGACGGCTCGAGGGAAGGGTGCTCAGGGCCTCACCTCATCGGTGTTGTACATCCCCATGCCCACACCGCCTGCAGGAAAGTTGTACACCTCCCACTCCTTGGCACTGCTGCCGTCCTTTGGGGTGAAGACTATCTTGAACGTACCAGCTCGATCTACAACAAAGTCTGTGGCCTTGTACTATAGAGAAAAGAGACGGCTCAGGTCAGGCTCTCTCGTGGGTTCACAGGTCAACAGACTGTCTCCCAGCCTGGCCTACCTGGTCACCATGGGCGTGCCTGCCAATAGTGATGGGCTTGGTCCAGCCAGGGACAAGGCGCGGGATGTTTTTGCAGATGATTGGCTCTCGGAACACAGTTCCCCCAAGGATGTTCCGGATGGTTCCATTAGGGCTCTTCCACATCTTCTTCAGCTTGAACTCTGCGAAGACAGAGATAAATTGGGCCCCTCCTTCCCACCAGAACAAACTCCCAGCAAAAGTACAGCCAGACAGGGAGCCTCGGTGTCATTCTGAAGTTGATGGAGGGATCTAGAGCCTAATTGGAATCTGCCAGTGGTGTGAGGTTTACAAAGTGCCTTAGCCTGAGCTGTGAAATGAAATTACTAATAAAATACCTAGTGGGCTGGGCTATCGTGAGGATTAAATGAGCAGTGTGTAATGTGCATGGAACAATGTCTGGCCTATGGCAAAGTACCCTGTCTGCCATTTTACCACACCCCACATAGAGGTTACTCAGAGGAAAAAGGGCTGCCTCTTTCAAGAAGTGCTGATGCCCACCCCCATCCTGCCCAAGGTTCTAAGACTATTACCTTGTCCATAAACCTATAAATCCCAGGGATGGACTGGAGCTGTAGCTCAATGGTAAGAGTACTTACCTAGCATGCACAAGGCCCTGAGTTCGACTATCAGTGCTTTAAAATAACTCCTAATAATTTTTAAAATCCCAGGATTCAGGAAAATCAAAAAACTCAGGACTAAAACTGACTGGGGGCCAGAGAAATGGCTCAGTGGTTAAGGGCACTGGTTGCTCTTGGCTAACAATCATCTGTACTCCAGGTCCAGGGTATCTGACATCCTCTTCTGGTCTTCACAGGTACTACATGGCAAAGGTGCACTTACATACATGCAGGCAAAACACTCATACACATAAAATAAAAACATATAAATCTTTAAAAAAAAATTTCGAGTGGTGGTGCAAGCCTTTAATCCCAGCACTTGGGAGGCAGAGGCAGGCAGATCTCTGTGAGTTTGAGGCCATCCTGGTCTACATAACAAGTTCCAGGCCACCTGGGGCTATAGGGAGACCCTGTCTCAAAAAGACCCCCCCAAATTCATACTCGCACTCACATAAAAATTGACTCTAGTGTACTATATCCAGGAGTGACCTGAAAGGACAGGATGGCCTAGAGACCTCAATGTATTTTAGGGTTTTTTTGTGGGGTTTTGTTTTTGGGTAGTGTTGGGGATTGAACCCAGGGCCTTGTGCATGATAGGCAAGCATTCTGTCACTGAGCTACACCCCCAGCTCTGTAGAAATTAATGAGGAAAACTCCTTACCCACCTTTTTTTTTTTTTCCACTCAAGAACAATTTTATTAGCGTTTAAGAGTAAAACAAGACAAGCAGGCTGCAAATCTCAGCAGCTTCCAGGAAAAGGGAAATGGAGAAAAGGAAGAAAGAAAAGCATGCTGCGTGTGGTGGAGGTCAAGGAGCAGCCACCTGGCAAAGGGGGAAGTTCACAGAGTAAAGCCCAGAATGCCTGGGAAAGAATGTTCTTAGCCTTTGGCTAGTATCCAGAGAACAGACGAAGTAAAGAAAAAGTTTCTGAGTTAGGACTCAGAGAAGTAGGTATGTGGCCTGGCAGAGGATCCACCATATCTTTTATTTATTTATTTTTTTAAATTATCCAAACCTCTCCCTTTTCTCTATATACTGGTGCAATTTTGTAGTACCCTAGAGAGCAGCTCCCAGAACCAAGGATCAGCAGCCAATCTAGACAACTCATACCTGGTAGGGACACCTCTCAGAAAGCTGTGCATGACCAGTGGGGTGGAGCCAGCCCTGCAATGTCCTGTGGAAGACACTCATGATGCCCACCCCCAGAGGTCTCCACAAAGCCTCTGCCCACCAGCCTGCCAAACAGTCTAAGATGTCAGAGGGATAGGCTGTCAAAAGCCATCATTATTCTGACAGCACCAATATTGTCTTCCTCCCCCCTGTGACTGTGATACTTCTCACTGGTGTGAGCCTCACAGCATGGCAGGAACACTGCCTACCTAGGCAGTAGGAGACATGATGACCTGGCCATGAGCATGAGGCTAGCCCCTCATCATGCCTCCCTTAGCTGTACCACACTGACTCTAGGGTACAGCAGGCCCTCCCAGCTAGACCAGACTCACCTCTTAGTCCCCACCACCCCACCCTGGACCCAAGTGAAATTAGCCTCAAGGGAACCCAGCTCTAGAAACTTCCATCTCCCAGTCTCATAATGAGTTACATAGTCAACCATGCCCCAAAATGTGACAGCCTGTCACCCTACTAGTCCCTGTGACCCCTCAACACCTCATACCTTCCACACGTGCCTCATCAGGGGTGATAGTGGCACACTTGACAGCCACACTGTACTTCTGGGTGGCTAGCGCAGAGTCAATAGTGACCTGGTCGTTGGTCTGGTCACGATTTGGAAGCCCGAGGTCAAAATACTTGAGCTGGACATCCACGTGGGGCAGAATGAGCTGGGAAAGACAGCCCAAGCAAATGTCAAGCCAAACAACTGACCTGGGGGCATGAGAAGTTACTGGGTCAAAAGAGGGATGAGGGAAAGCAAGTAGAGGCGACACAGGAGAGAGCTTGGGGTCAGCCATTTCTTAGTAGGGCCAAAGCTGACAAGAGGCTAGGACTCTGAGAGGTAACCAAACTGGACCACGGACCCTCAGAAGAAAGCCAGGCATGGAACATCTCCACTACCCTAGGGCCCATCAAGTCAGTTGAGCCCCAAGTCTATAGAGTGGGGTCCCCCTTCTCCTTCAAGTGCTCTATGATCTCAGATCAGAAGTGGTATTTTCAGTCTGGCATACTGGCATACACCTGTAATCCCAGCACTTGGGAGCCTGAGGCAGGAAGATCACCAGTTTGAGGCCAGCCTGGGCTACACAGTTAAAACCTTGTCTCACAGACATGGTGGTACATGCCTTTAATCCTAGCATTCAAAAGGCAGAGGCAGTTGAATCTGTGTAAGTTTAAGAGCAGCCTGGTCTACACAGCAAGTTCCAGGCCAGTCTATGGGGTGAGACCCTATCTGTGTGTGTGTGTGTGTGTGTGTGTGTGTGTGTGTGTTTTGTCCGTATATATTCTATATATGTGTGCCCATACGCACAGCACACAGAGAGACGACAAGAGGGCGCCTGGTCTACACAGCAAGTTCCAGGCCAGTCTATGGGGTGAGACCCTATCTGTGTGTGTGTGTGTGTGTGTGTGTGTGTGTGTGTGTGTGTTTTGCCTGCATATACTGCATATATGTGTGCCCATGCATGCAGCACCCATAGAGGCCAGAAGAGGGCATCTAATCCCCTGGAACTGGAGTTATAGAAGATTGTTAGCAGTCAGGTGGGTGCTGGTTCCAAGCCTGGGTCCACTGCAAGAGTAGCCAGTACTCTTTACTGTTGAACCATTTCTCCACCTCCTATGAGACCCTATCTTAAAAAAAAAAAAAAAAAAAAAAAAAAGCTGGAGAGATTGGAGAGATGGCTCAGCATTTAAGATCACTGGCTGGACCCAGGTTCGAGTCCCAGCACCCAAATCATGAAGACCAAAGTTTGGATCCCAGTACCCATGTAACAAGCCAGGCATCTGGAACACACCTGTAACCAGAGGCAGGCAGATGGGCAGGGCTTGCTGGCGTTCAGCCTAGTTGTGAAAACACAAGCTCCATCAAAGGAATAGGCAGAGAATGATAGAGGAGAACACCAACACCCTCTTCTGGCCTCTGTGCCCACACAAACATGCATAGACATGCAAATAAATTGTTTATATTACATTTATTTATTTATTTATTTATTCATTCATTCATTCATTCATTTATGTGCAGGTCAGAAGACAACTTGCAGGAGTTGGTCCTCTCTTTCCACCATCTGGGTCTCAGGGATTGAACTCATGTCATCAGGCTCGTCAGCAACCACCTTTACCTGTGGAATCAGCCTACCAGCTGCTAATTAATTAATTAATTTTTTTTTTTTTTTAAAGAAACAAGATTTGAATCAGGTGAGGTAGCTCATCCAGTCAGGGCACTTGATGACCTGAGTTCAATTTCAGGACTCTACATGGTGGAGGGAAAAAATTGACCTCCACAAGTACTGACCTCCAAGTGGCACATGCATGCTAGCTGCATGTGTGCATATACACACATAAATAAGTATATAAATAAATGCAATAAATTATTTTTATTTTATTTATTTCTTGTCTTTTTGAGACAGGGTCTCTCTGTAGCCTAGCTGGCCTGGAACTCAGCTTAATAAATTTTTTTTTTAAAGAAAAAGAAACAAGCGCTGGGCGTGGTGGCTCACACCTTTAATCCCAGCACTTGGGAGGCAGAGGCAGGCGGATCTCTGTGAGTTCAAGGCCAGCCTGGTCTATATAGTGAGTTCCAGGACAGCTGGGGCTTCAGGGAGACCCTGTCTCAAAAAGACTAAAAAAAAAAAAAAAGAAACAAGACTTGAAAAGCCTGAAGGCTTCAGCACTAACTTAAGGCTCAGTTTGCTCAAGACAGGCACTGCCTGACAACTAGAGCTGTTAATGTTCTCCACAAGGGAGGTAGAGTCATGGGACTCCTAGGAACCTGAGACCTTGTGGGACTGACCGCCTACTTGAGAACCCATCGGGGAGGGGCACTACCTTCTCCTTAATGAACTGCCAGATGATTCGAGTCATCTCATCACCATCCATCTCCACCACCGGCTTCTCCACCTTGATCCTCTTGCCAGCATCTAGAACGGGGCACACAGCACATCACAACTCTGAGGAGGGCAGAAGGAGAACCTCCCTTCTCACAGCCAGTCCCATGCTCCAATAAGGAGAGAGGGGACAGTGAACCGTCTTCTACCTGTAGGCCCTGCATCCCCCATGGAAGATGGCCACATAGGATTATATTCAATGGGCTTGGGCTGGGCTAACTAGTCAGAGCCTCTTCCCTTGGAAGCTGAAGACAGAGAGACCAACAGAGAACCACAGCCAGCTGAAGCTACCCTGTCCAGCACCAACTCCTCAAGGTGAGCAGACTCTCTACTTCTCTAATTTCAGCCCTTCACTTTTCCCTGTAATACTGTGTCCTTCCAAAACAGTCCTCTCAAAGTCAGCCAGTCACTAAGTTTCCCTGTTGTCTGGAAGCTGGGAACCCTCAACAGCTTGAATCAAAGAGGGGAATATACAGATCCATAGTGAGAGCCCACCATGTGCCTAAGAGCAGACCAACCCTACACATTCAAAGCAACATCTGATCCCCAAACAATCTCAGGCACATCAGTGCCATCTTGTTTGTTTATTGGTTGGTTGGTCTTTTTGGAGACAGGGTTTCACGCAGCCCAGGTTGTCCTACTATCTACATAGCTGAAGGTGACCTTGAATTTCTGATCTTCCTGCCTCTACCTCCGGAGTACCAGGATCACCTGCCTGCACTACCACACCTAGCTTGGTTTTTCTGTTGTTGCTTTAATGTGTATGAGTGTTTTGCCTGCATATATGTAAGTGCACCTGTGTGGCATAATATCAGTCTGGCCTGAAATTGTATAGTCTAGCTGGCGTCAAACTCATCATCCTCTTGCCTCAGCCTTCCAAGTACTAGGATTACAGGTGCATGCTACCACACTTAGCTCATTGTTCCCATTTTAAGTATGAGGAAACTGAGGTATGGAGAGGCGATCAGTTTACTGCCAAGGGTTACAGAGATAGAACACAGAGCCAGGAGGACTTGAATCTTCCTCATTGGAAGACAGGCTTATGGCATCTGAGAAGAGAACTCAATCCTAAGCCAAGTAAGGCTCAGGTAAATCTGTCCTTCTAGAGAAGTGTTCAAAACCCAACAAGGACTAGCAAGATGGTTCACCGGGTAACTTGCTTGTCACCAAGCCAGACAACCTGAGTTCCATCTCCGGAACATAGAATATTTATGCAATTGAGGACAGCCTGGTCTATACACAGTGAATTCTGAGTTAACCAACGGGGTATAATGAAACCCTGTCTCAAAAAAAGAAAAAAGAAAAAAGCCTAACAGACCTTAAACATGCCATTGATACCACTGTCCTATAATACATACCTCAGCCATGCATGGCTTCAAGACATCCTTGAACATAAACCACATACAGCAAAGCAGCTCATGTTCCAAAGACATTCAAACAGATTTTGTAGAACAAAAACAAACAAACAAAAATAATCTTCATTTAGGGAGAAAAAGAGGACCTAGGGAGTGTGGTTGGTGCCCGAGGCAGGACAGAATCCAGGCTCAGTGAGGCATGACCTTGTGGATCAGATGCTGAGAAGCCAAAACAGCACACACAAACTCTTTTCCTGGGAATGAAGGCAGAGACAGTTGGCTCCACCACCCTACCCATAATACCATGGGGATTTTAGACCAAAATTATAAAATTCCTTCACTTTGGTCTCAAGCTTGACTGGGAAGGACCTTTAAACTTGTAGAAAGTCAGCTGAGCAGAATCTGCTTAGCTTCTAGAAGCCTTCTCTGAGAGTTAAGGACAGCTCACCCAATTTTTTAAAAATCTAAACCTACATCATAATCCAGATCCCCAAAGACACACTTGTCCAAGAGCCAGTTCTGAAGGTCTTAGCCTTGGCCTGGGCTCCTCTGTTTGAGCATCAGGCAGACAGACACAGACCCATGGGTGCTATGGGTGCCACACCTCCTCAGTGGGAAACTTCAAGGTCAAGATCACACCCTCAGGTACCAGCAAGCTTTCATGGAGAACACAGGGCCCATTTATTTACATAGCAACCTGGTACAGACTAAGCACTGTGGATATAAAACCACTCAGGCAAGGGAGGGAGGAGAGAGGGAAAGAAGAGAAGGGAGAGGGAGAGGGAGAGGGAGGGAGGGAGGGAGGGAGGGAGAGAGAGAGAGAGAGAGAGAGAGAGAGAGAGAGAGAATAAAACCTACAGTAAGCAATGCTGTTTTCAACTCAGGGATGCCAAGGCCTCCCAAGCAGACTTCTCAGAGGAGCTAGAGACAGGGATATGAGTCTAGGTAAGTCCCTCTGCTGGGTCCTAAAAGTCCATGTTTCTTCCCTGATTCTGGAAACTGAACCCAGAGCCTTGTACACACCTGTAAACTCTCATTCACAGAACTGTACACCCAATCTAAAAAAAATTTTTTTCTAGGGATGGAGAGATGGCTCAGTCGTTAAAAGCACTGACTGCTCCTGCGGAGGATCTGGGTTCGATTCCCAGCACCCACTACGAACCATTCTTAACTCCAGTTCCAGGGGATCCGATGCCCTCTTCTGACCTCTGAGGCATTGCACGACATGGGTGCACTCACATACCTGCAGGCAATACACTCATACACATAAAATTTTTAAAAATTAAAAAAACTTTTATTTGGTGCTAGGGATTGAACTCAAGGCCTCACACTTGCTAAGCAAGCCCTCTACCACCAGCCAGATAATGGGAGGCGGGGCGGGGGGGGGTTGTTGTTGCTGTTTGTTTTGGGTTTGGGGGACAGGGTCTTATTATGGAACTCAGCTATGGAACTCAAACTCATTCTGTAGCCCAAGATGGCCTCAAGCTCAAAATCTTCCTGCCTCTGCCTCCTGAGTTCTGAGATTACAGGCATTGCCACTTTGCCTGGCTCAGATGGCAATATTTTTTAAATGTTCTTTGGTACCTGGGCATGGTGGTGCATACCTTTAATCCTGGCACTTTGGGGGCAGAGGCAGAGGCAAGTGGATCTCTGTGAGTTCAAAGCCAGCTGGACATACATAGCAAGTTCCAGACCATCTGGAGGTATAGGGAGACCCTGTCTCAAAATACCAAAACACTATGCAGGGTGTGGTAGCGTTCACTTTTAATCCCAGCCCTCAGGAAGCAGAGGCAGATGGAACTCTGGGAGGCCACCCTGGTTTACATCCTGACTTCCAGGTGGGCTGTGACTAGGGAGAGACCCTGTCAAAACACCACAAGACCAAAAAAAAAAAAGAAGAGCACTGGCTGTTCTTCTAGAAGTTGTGCATTTTGTTCCCAGCACCCACATGAAGACTCACAACCATCTTTTTAACTCCAGGATCCAATGCCAAAGCTCTCTTCTGACCTTCAAAGGCATTGCACAACACAGGTGCACTTACATACACCAAGGCAAAACACTCATATACATAAAATAAATAAACACATTTTAAAGTAAATAAAACCATCAGGAGAGTAGGATTGGTGTGACTGAGCTGGTAGAGTACTTGCATAACAGGCATGAGGCCTTGGGTTCGATTTCCAACACCATATAAACCCAATTTGGTGGCTCACCTGTTTGTAATCTCAGCACTAGGAAGATAGAAGCAGGAAGGTCAGAAGTTCAAGGCTATATATACTTGGCTATAAATAGAATTCAAGGACATTCATTGCTGCATAGCTCAAAATAGCCAAAAGGTAGTGTCTTAACAATGCATGAATGGACAAAATACAGTCTATACATACAACGGAATATTATTCAGACTTACAAGATTTAAAAAAAAAAAAAAGGAAGTCCTGTCACATGCCACACCACTGGTGGCAGTTATATGATATGAAATAAGTGAGTCACAAAGACAGACACTTTAGGACTTACTTAGGTAACCTAGAACAGAGATAAAGTAGAATGGTGATTTGTCAGGGGCTGAGGGGGGAGGAAATGGGAAGCTACTGTTTCATAGATACCAAGTTTCAGTTTTACAAGATGAAAAGTTTCTAGAGAAGGCTAGGTTGGTGGCTACAAAGTAACCATGCTAAACGCTACTGAAATGGACATTTAAAATGTTAGCTTCATGGACTGTTGGGGATGTCAGGAGAGTTGGGAGTGGATATGATCAATATACATTGTACACATTAATGTACTTGTCAAAGAATAAATTAGATACTCTAGAGCAAGTGAGAAAGCTCAGCAGGTAAAGGCCCTTGCCACCAAGCCTGAGGTCCTGAGTTTGATCTCAGATCCTATTTGATGGAAAGAGAGAACTGATTCCTGCAAATTGTGAAGACTTCCACACCTACATTATGACACACCCACACACAATAAGTAAATAAACAAGTGGGAAAAAAACTCTAAAAAAGAAAAGTTACCGTGGTTAATATTGTTGCCTTTCACCTAAATAAAAATAATACACATTCAGCCAGGTGTGGTGGCGCACGCCTTTAATCCCAGCACTTGGGAGGCAGAGGCAGGCGGATCTCTGTGAGTTCAAGGCCAGCCTGGTCTACATAGTGAGTTCCAGGACAGCTGGGGCTACAAGGAGACCCTGTCTCAAAAAGACAAAAAAAAAAAAAAAGACTAATAATTTAAACCAGCCTGTCTTGAAGAATGAGTTGCCCCAATACAGTGAGCAGACACCCACCAAGAGCAAAGACAGCTGGGCTGAGACCTGCCTTGTATCCTCCAGGTGCCGGTGCCATGGGAGTTTGAGAACTTTTTCTGTTATTTTGCTTACAGGATTCCAACAAACCACATTCTGCCCCTCTTTAGAAGGGGCGGGGGAATGGATCAGTGGATAAAGCACTTGTCACCCAAGAGTAAGGACCTGAACTCAGAGTTTCAGAACCAATGTAAAAGAGCCTAATTCAGTAGCCTATGTCTGCAATCCTAATGCTCCTACCAAAGCAAGATGGGGGGGGGGGGCAGTGGAGCACATGCGCAAACACACACACAAACACACAAGTAAAAGAAGGAAAGAGAGGAAAAGAAGAAGAAAGTGATTAAAATACAAGGAGCAGCACCCAAGTTTCCCTGGAAAGTTCC